CAGTCTGAGCGACCGAGTGAGACTCCAACTCAAAAAAAAAAAAAATGTATATACGGTCAAAAAACCCTCCTACTCGCACTCCTGCTCCCCAGCCCCTCCCTATTCCAATACCCTACTCCCCTGCATTTCTTTCTAGCTTTATGCAGATGCAGTAAATAAGTCTATATTCTGTTGCCCTCTTTCTTATCAAAAATAAAAAAAAGGTTCTTGGCTTTGGAATTTGATGTTCTAACTTAGTAGTAATGGCACAACACTAACCCAGTAGTTATACCTTTCTTCACAGATTTAAATCAGAAATGCCCCTGCCTGTGACAGATGCTTACTTTCATAAACCTCCCCAAGGGCATGTGCCAAGATAACTACCTTTCTACTTAATTAAAACACCTCACGTACGTCCTTGGCTGTCGGTTACCATCTCTGTTAGTTTTGTGGAATGGCCGCCCATGTTCATTTTTTGAGCCTCAATTTAATTCTAAAGGCAAAGATACAAATGTGCTCTTCATGTGCTTGTTCTCAGGCAGAAATACTGATTTGCAGGCCTTCTCAATTAAATGCAGAGTCACGTAATTTCTCCCTTCCCTTTATCACCGCCAACCCACAAAACCTCTCTCCAGGCATGTGCAAAACCCTCCCACTATCTGCCTCAGCCTCTGTGATGCCCCCCAGAGGGTGGTGTCGGCTTAAATATTAACATAGTCACTAGTATGAAAATACCCTCTCCATGCACAGAGAACTTGTGGTGACCAAAGAAAAAAACACTCATTAAATTGTTGACTTCCAAATGTGTGTGCCCTTTAGAAAACCGCCAGAAGGCCTGAGTCCTGAATTAAATGCTGATTACAATATGCAAGACATTAAACAGTCAAGAAATAAAAAGAGCTTAATCCAGGGATGGCTGACTTTAGAGAACTTGGGGCCGTAAGCTCTAGCACCCTGCTGTTTGGGGGCCAGCACACTCCCAGTGGTAATTCTGTTAGACAAGTAATGGCTAAGCCATGGTACAATGTTATCAAAAAGCCATCCACTTATGACAACAGCAGTAATTCTCAAAGTGCCATCTCCCAGAAAATCACTCCGACTCAGTGTCATAATGAAATTTGCTTTCTCCTACTAAATAGCTATTTAGTGAAAAACCGATATTTGACCTTAGGTTATGAAAATGTTTTAAGTGAAAAAGAAACTTAGTGACATTTTGAGACACTTGAAAGTGGCTCTCAAATTGTCTTGTGACCAACATGTGACAATCTGACCTCAATTCATGAGTCATAACAAATAGAAATCTTTGTATCCCTCAAAATTGGGCCAAGAAAAATAATTAGCAGGTAACTGAACAAAAAAAGTGATGTCATAAAGTGGAAGAGAGTTCAGTGAATTCACCTCAGTCTCATAAATTGGCCTTACCCAAAAGATTTCTCTCCAGGACAAGACTAACTGAGACAATATAAAACATTCTATTTGTCTATATCTTAACTAAAATGTTTGTCTTCTGCTAATTCCTTGGTCACTACTTCCAAACTTGTGATTCTAAGTTCTGACCACAAGTTGGAATGACAGCTCATTCTGTAGCTACCACAGGCCCGGGCAAGAACCTTCTGCCATGGCAGTTGTACGGGTTTCTCTCTCCATTATTCCTGAGTCATTCTGAACGATCTCCTGCCGTTCTCCGTAGATTTCTGACTAGGGATCAGACTGCTTCCATACGAGATGACAAATGCTAAGCTTGTTATCTTTCCTCATAAACTTCCCCTTCTCCCTGCCTCCCTGCCAGAATCCTGAAACGTACCGCTGGCTTTGGTCCTTTCAAAAAATAACGGTACATTTTTTTAAACCAAATACTGTACTCCATTGATCACCATTTTGGTCAGTAGTGATCTGCGTAGATCTTCCCTGTAAAGATTTCTGTAAAGACTCGGTAAGTACCGAGGTCTGCCCCGGGTGGTGTATTTGTCGGTGAGGCGATATGTCTACTAAGACCTAACACTGAAATGAAGGAACAGGCTTGGGGATTTTCAACACGTGTGTTTTCACTGCCTGCTCAGGGTATAGCAGGCTGGGTTGTTGTTTTTTTTCAGAGAGTGGGTAGGGATGGTTTTCCCCCCACCTGTTATTATATATCTTTTTTCACCAGGGGGTAGTTTTTAGAAGCAGTGTTCTTGAATTCGAAACAAGTACAGTGTGCCACCAGAACTTTTTATACTGAAACCTTTGATATGTTTGTTATCTTGTTGGCTATTTTTGTAAGGTGGTTTCCTACCCATCTTTCTCCCCCTCTCTTTTGGTTGATGTGAGGATAGTGTTGGTATTTGGGGTTTTTCATCTGTGTTGCAAGTGTGTTGCCTTAACCATTAGTCATACTGTCGAGTTGGGGACCAAGGAGAAAACCAGATAGATGGAGTCTTCCTGTTTCAGACACAGATGAAGGCAATTGACATTTATCTGTTTTGTTTTCCCGTGCTCTCATTTTCGGCCTATGTAGTTGTGTTTCCACCTTCTGCGTTCCTAATTTACACTGAGGTCATGAAACTCCGTGTGCTTTCAAAAACACCACCCCAGTGAGCTGTCACCCACTTCCCACCCTCGGCCTGAGCTTGAGAGTGCTTCCTCTGCAGGGGAGTCTTCACACAGCATTGCTCATTGCTTCGGCATCCCTTCTCGTGGAGAGTGCTCCCCCAGGGGAATGGGGGTTTGGTTTCTGAACCCTTGAGAGGTGCAGGGCATACATGCTGGGTGGGTGGGCACCGGCACATGCTGACAGAGATGTCTGACCGTAGGAATTCTCAGCACTGGACAGAAGCATAAATGCTAGTTTATATGTGAGGTCCTTTATAGGTTCCAAAGTAAATCAGGATGCTAAAGTGAGAAAGCACCTTGACCTGTGAGTTGGGGGTGCCTAACCAGGGTCTCTGTAACAGATATATCATGTGACACTGGGCAGGTCATTAACTTGTATGTGTCTTTCTTCTCATCTGTAAAATGAATTGGAGAAGATGATCACTAAGATCAATTTTGGATGCAAAAAAAAGAACCACATATGATTCTTCTCATTGGGTGAAAACAGGTTCCCAGACAGAAAGGCAGGAAGGCATGTGAGCAGTGGCATACAAGGGGCTTTTGCCAAATTGAAGGCTTCCCAGATGAC